AGTAATTAGTTAAAATATTAATAGTAGCATGAATGGTAGTAACGTATAATTTTACTATCACCACTGTTAAATACTTCCTACTTCTGCAGGCGTAATCACATCCACAGTCTTCTCCTTCTTGACCAGTGGCATCACAACACCCTTGTGCTGCTTCACTCCTGCCTCTTTAGCCTGTCTCCTACTGCTCCAGATCTTTATACCCTTCTGATACTCAGTGAGTCTCTGTACATTCTGGTAGAACGTATCCCGATTCGTGTTTTTCCTTCTCTTATCCACTGCTATTCCAATGGTTCTGGCGTACTTGTAGTCAATTCCAGCCGTATGGCACTCTTCTGGCGTGAATCCATTTCCCAGTCTCTCCTTCCTGTTGTGGCGGATTGTGTTGCATCGTACGGCCGGCCTGAGCTTCTTCGTTGGCTCCGGATACGTCGTCCTTGCCTTCTCCTCCCTCTTTGATCGCCTGCTGGTCTTCTTCGCCGCCTGATCAAACCACGTCCTGATTCGCTTGGCTGTTTTACCAAAGTGGTTGTTTGGCAATGCGTTGTTTCTCTTCATTTGGGTAAAAATTGATAAAAATGAAATATTGATCCATGAGGGATGAGAGGTGTTCTGCGACTGTATTCAGCCAGTAGAAAGACGTAGACCAATTTGGAGCATTCTTAGTCCAATTATCAGCCATAGCAATTTTATCAAATTTTTATCCATGTCAAGCAGAATTCTGACGAAGGGAACTAAGAAAACATCCACGGCCACCTGCGAATGCACCAGAGCAGGCGAGTTTGAGGTGCGCGTGAACAAGGTGCCTCTTTCCGTAATGGGCGACTATCTGATGCAGGCCAAGCTCAACGAGGTCATCGAGACCATCGGAAGAGGCCCATTGGCTGGTCTCGACTTCGACATCACCACGTGCAAGGAAGGCGGATTCACAGGAAGAGTCTACGCAGCAAGACAGGCATTCTGTAGGGCTGTTCTGGCCTACTTTGGAATGCATTCTGATGAGTACAAGAAGCAGGAGATTCAACAGAGACTCATGGCATTTGATAGATTCGCATTGGTCACTGATACAAGGAGGAAGGAGCCTAAGAAATACGGTGGACCAGGAGCACGTGCAAGGTACCAGAAGTCATACAGGTGAGAAAGAATAATATAATTATATAGGTAGTTACAGCTATAAGCAGTTAGTTACTTCTTACTCTACATCACCTTTATCCCTAAATATTGATTTGACTTGCATTCCTCTCACAAACGCATCCTTCATTCTCATTCCTTTGAATTCCGCATCCTCTAAGACGCAATTCAAGTAGCCATCAACCGATTTGAGTACTCCACTGATCTCTGCATTGTTGCTGTTCAATATCTTCACTCTTTTATTCATCAAATCTCTCATGATAAATTCTGTTGAATTATTATCCATTTTGGGTGTAAAATAAGTTCAATACAAATCAAACTCCTTGGTTCCATTTGAGTGAAGCAGCAACAAAGAGAGCTTTTTGCAGCACAGTTCCAGCAGATAAACGTATTCAAGGTAGTTGGCCGCATTGGACAGGTCTATCACATCCTGAAGGTGGTAGTTTCGAAACCACCCAATATCCTCTGGGCTGAAATAGAGTTCTCTGATGTCATAAGAGTGATCAATATCCACGTCCAAATCCACCTTATCCTGTGTAACCAGAAACTCATAGACCTTCTGGAACACGGCTGAATCCAATTCAATCCCAAATGTGTCCGTCTTGTACAGCTCACTTAGATTCTTGATGTATTTGATTTTATTCACATGGTTTCGCCTCAATTCGTACTCTTTTCCATCCCGGGTGATGATTCTGATTGTTTTTTCAACCACTCCTGCCATTTTGGGCTGATTTAAACTGCTATTTTTGTACTCCTATAATTCAAGAATGACGAATGTCAACATAGATAAGAATGAGATCAATATGCTACATGTGATGCTACTACAGGATGCATCACTCATTGTGCCACAATATCCATCCATCATGAAGTACGAGAAGCACCTAACCAATACAGAAATATCCAGACTAATCATCCCATTCTTTTACTATACCACACTCATTGCAATACCAATTGTCTACAGTACCATAGTCATTCTTGATCTATATTGGATCCACCTGATTACAGTAATCTGTCCTATAGTTGCTTCTACTGCAATCATATTCAGTCCAAAATACAGAAATAATCCCAGTGAAATATCAGTCAACAAGAGTGCCCTGATTCTACTTCGCCTATGCTACTCAATCAGTTCAGTTGCTGGGATACTTAGAACCACTCTACGTCACACCACTCCCAAAACCAGAAACTATCACACCTTTCTGCTTCTCTACAAATTGCAGTCTGATGGAACCAAATCAGCCTGTGCTTGGATATCACAGGATTTCCACTACGAAACCAGTTCATTTGAACTGATTTATGTTCTATCATACTGTGTAAATGGAGCAGCAGTGCTCTGGGTGGCATTAGGAGACTGCCTGGGCACTCGTGCCAAAAGTAGAAGCCTTCAGGAGATGCTTAGTGGGGTCATAGGCGTCATTGGTCGTCTGAGCAGGGAGCAGGTCATCAACGAGGCCTTCCTCATCTCAAATTCAGCCATTAAAATGTTCCTAGGGCTCTTTGCTGAGACGATGCTCTTTGAAATTGATGCAAGGGTGGGAAGGAAGAATCAACCAAAAGTCAGAAATTCAGGCAGAATCAACCAAATCCTCTACAAAACAGTCAACCTGATTTCAAGACTAATTTGCCTAGTCACATTTCAGTCAAGGAAGTCACCAAAGAAGACGGAAGACGTCCTAGGAGTGGGCTACGTCACTGGCTGCGTCAAGTTACTCAGCACTCTTTTGGCCTACGTGATCTGTGAGTTTGTTCTTGGCCAATTTGATGCCTACACCATGCAGTTCTACGCCTGGCCACTCCTCCTGGTCGCACTCGCCCTTCTTGTTCTGGCTCCATCTCGTTCTGCTGGAAATGTGCTACTTTTTGCTGCTTCTGTCGCCAATGCATCACAGGAGTCATTTGGTAGGTCCCAGTTTGTCAGAATGGAGGATGTTGCCCTCTTCTCCTGCCTCAACATGCTTGCTGTTTCCCTCCTTTCATCATTGATCAATTTTTTAACTGGTTTCTTTGATGTTGGTACCAGGTGCAAGTGCGTAGTCTACGTTGGATTTGGAGCAGCTGTCTATTTGATCATACTGAGCATATGACACATTTATTGATATTTTTGTGGTCGATGTTAGCAGATAATTAGCGAGAATCAATCACTTCCAACTCAACTATTCAAATAATCACTGATTCTTTTTGCCTAAAAATTTCCCTTTTCTCCCCCTATGATAATCAACATATTTTCAGTCATGTTGCTCCAAGACTGCTCATTCATCCTCTACCAGTACGTGAGCATCCTCAAAATAAGCAAGAACTTCACTGGGAAGGAGATCTCCAGCAAAATCATCCCATTCTTCTACTACACCACACTCGCAATCATTCCGTTCGTTTATACTACGCTAATCACAATCAACCTCTACTACTTCTACATGATGACCGTTCTGCTTCCAGCAGCCGTACTCTTTCTGGTCTTCTTTTCTCCAAAATACAGGGCTGTTGGAATTGAGACGAATCTGTCTCCTACACCGGCACAGATGAAAACAAATCCAGTATCAATGACCATGGCTCGTCTTGCATACGTCGTTGGATCCATCAGTGAAATATTCAGGTCCACTCTACGAACAATCACGCCAAAAGTGGGCCAGAAGAAGCAGGACAGAAACTACCTTCTTTGGTACAAACTGCAGTCAGAGGGTCTCAAGGCCCTTTGCACGTGGGTGGCCCAAGACATCTTCTTTGAAACAGGAAATTTCAGGCTGATTTACGGATTGAGCATTGGAACCAATGCAATTGCGTTTGGGTGGATTCTGCTAGGAGAGAAGACGAAGAGTGCAGCAAAGAGCACGAGTCTCATGGAGATTGTGAGAGGAGTCAGAAACGCATTCAGTCTGCTCAATGATAAAGAGGTGATCAACGAGGTATTCATCGTAGTAGGAAACACAATGAAGATATTTGTGGGGCTATTCAGCAACTCAATACTCTTTGAAATAGATAAGGACGTGAAAGAAAGAGAGAAAGAGAAAAAGGGTGAAATTGAGACTGAGACTGAGACTCGTAGTAGAAATAGCACTGGTAACAGAGTAGCAATGGGGATAAACTACTTCCTGTACAAAACAGTCAATTTGGTATCCAGGCTCATTCTGCTTCTCACACTTCACAAGGTGGGCCAAAAGGGAGAGGACAGGAAGAAGATTCTGGGCGTAGGATACGTCATAGGGGCTGTGAAGATGACCAGTACACTTTGTGCTGCCCTACTCTGTGAATTCGTATTCAAGAAACTCGATGGATACAACTTGCAGTTCTACAGCTTCCCAGTGGTTCTGCTTGTCTTTGGCTTCTTCATCAAGGCACCAACCAGGTTCATAGGAAATGCAATGTACTTCATGACGTCACTCACCCTCGCCATCAATGACTCATTCAGCAGAGACGTCCTCCTCAAAATGAAGAACATCAACCTCTTCGCCTGCTTCAACCTCTTTATGGTTGGACTGATCTCATCAGTGATCAACTTCACCACTGGATACCTGAATATGGGAGTTAGGAGGAAGTGTATGGTCTACCTCTTTGGTGGAGTAGGAGTGTACGCACTGCTGGTGATCTGTAGGCTACTATCAAATTGATGTCATTAATTTATTCTTCTGGTTTGAAGCACTTTTTGGTACTTTCTCTTGCTTGAATCATCATTCATGTAGTCGTATCCAAGGATATTTGTTAGTGCATACTGGAAATCAGTCAGTTGCTTTTCAAGGCCAAATAGTTTACAGCACATAAACACCCTTGATATTCTGTTTTTGTTGTGATTTCCATGCATGAACCAATTTCCCTCTTTTTTCCCCTTGGCAATCAGAAAATCGGCAAATGTCACCGTGAAATCCCGAATTGTCTGCAATACAACTGGCCTTTTGACTAGAATTCTGGCTACTGTTCTAACCATCACCTTTTCTTCCTGATAGTCTGAAAATCTCATTACTGGAAAGATGTATTGGATGTAGTTGTGCTCACTTTCCATCGTATCCAGTTTATCTGGTGTGAAATTGTCGTAATATTGGGACTTCTTTTTCGTCTCAAGGTGTCTTCCTCCCTTTACAAAGAAGTTGTACATTGCCAGGTTGAATTCAATGATTTGCAACTTGTATTTTTTGTAAGATGGCTTCTTCTCGAACATGAAGTCGAGATCATTAAGGATTAATTTCCTATTTGTCTCTAAGATGTTATCTGTATCACTTGCCTTTAGAAATGCGAATGTCCCATCGATATCAGTGATAGAATTATCTTGAAGCAGTGGTAGAAACTTTCTTACAGGCACCGTCGTTGTCTTTGGTTTTGGTTTTGGTTTTTGAATCTTTGGTTTTGCAATGTTTTTTGATTCCTGCTTACGATCTTTAAATACATAGATTGCTATCAAGAATACACCTACACACAACAGTATGGCAACCAATGAGATTATAATAATAATAGCTCCAGTCNATCTGTATCACTTGCCTTTAGAAATGCGAATGTCCCATCGATATCAGTGATAGAATTATCTTGAAGCAGTGGTAGAAACTTTCTTACAGGCACCGTCGTTGTCTTTGGTTTTGGTTTTGGTTTTTGAATCTTTGGTTTTGCAATGTTTTTTGATTCCTGCTTACGATCTTTAAATACATAGATTGCTATCAAGAATACACCTACACACAACAGTATGGCAACCAATGAGATTATAATAATAATAGCTCCAGTCTTCTTATTTGAATTCATAGGGGAGATTAAAGGAGATTAAAAAATAAGCAATAAAAATTGTTATGATCAAAGAAAGTAGACAGATTAGTGTCATGGTGTAACACCCCTACTCGAAACGGAAGATGAACTTGAAAACGACTTAGACATCGATGGGTTTTGTTCCAGGTTTTCCTTTTATATTAATTTTAGTATTGATGAATAACTGTCATACTGCGACATGAGTGATGCAGCTGCTTATTAGATTGTTCATCATGGCTCCTAGATTGGTTCTTCCTATTGTTTACTTACTTTTATACCTTTGTTTGTCAACTTGTAAGGTAATCAATGTCGTGTGTGACAATTACTTGCCACCTTTTCCACCCTTTCCTCCAAATATTCCACCATCTTCACCGTCTTCTCCATCTTCTCCACCATCTCCTCCTTTGCCGCCTTTTCCTCCTCCTAACGACAATCCTAACGACAATCCTATCACAATCACTAACACAATAGACCCCAATATTACACCCAATACAATCATACTCTTATTTTTACCATTCATATGGGCATATTTTTGATCAAATTAATCTCTTCCACTATTCACCATCCTTTGACTTGTTCTCCTCCTCCAACTTGTATTCACTCTGCTTGCTCCTGCTATTGTTGCTTCCAATCGAGTAGATGTTCTGGTTGCTTCCTGCTGAATACGCGTTGTACTTCAGCCCACTTCCTGGCTGATACGACCCTGATCCACCAAAGTAGTTTGATGATCCAGGCGTGAAGTAGGCGCTATTCTGGTTTGATGCCGGCTGATAGTAGTTTGATCCAGGCGACTGGTAGAAGGTGGATCCAGGATTCACGTAGGACGAATTGGGGGAGTAGATGG